AACATCAACCTTCCCTTAGAGCTACAGGCCACTGCCCCTGCCAGAAGCAGCTGGACTGTGGGTTCTGGGAGTGAGGACTGTCCTGTAATACATTCATGCAACACCTGCGCACGCTATGATAACACAAAGAGTACAAGCACTAATAAGTGACACATAGCCACTGTTTATATCGCAGTTTGGGAAGGGAGGCTGAGAGGCAGAAGACACAGTATGGAGGAGGTGGCAGGCAGGTTCTCTTGGGGATCCCCAGACAGCCCCCAGGTGCCACCTCCAAGCACAGTTCAACAGGCTCAGCTGGCTCACAGCAGACTCAGGCTGACAGAGAAACTGGGCAGCAGGAAAGAAAAAAAAACAAACAAAACCTGTGCAGTGCCTTTTTTTTTTTTTTTTTAATTAATTCTTGTCATTAGTGACTCGTTTCAGGACAAACAGCACAGTCAAAATCCATTTCTCTTTTGAGTGCACCTTTCCACTCCATTTCTTCTACCCATCAGGATGCCCAGTCACTAAGGGACTCAGTGCAAGCAAAGCATGGTACCAGGGTGCCAGCAAACTTGAGAGCAACCTGCACTGCTGGTGCCAGCTGAGACCACGGAGAAGCTGCTGTCACTGCATCTGTCTCCCCAGGCTGACGAGGCACAGCACGGCACAGCACGCTTCCCAGCACATCTCTTGCAGCTGCTGGGATGCATTAGCCAGGGCAGCCTGATGCCCCAAAGCCCAAAATGAGTTGAAGAGGAAAGAAGTGGTGCTGCCTGCAATGGTCCCCGGGAGCATTGTCTCAGCATATCACAGTCACACCACAGATGACACTCCAAAGCCTCTCCAGTTTGCAGCTATTAGAAGAACTCAGACAGAGTCGAAAAACAGAATACAATATGCTCTTTGAGCCCAATTCTTCTGAACTGAACTTCACAGGCCCAAAGTAGGATTTCTGACATTTTATCTTCCTTAAATAGACAGTAGGATGTAGTTTGGCCCCAAATTTATACTTAATTTAAAAAAGCAAAGAGATAAACCTTTGAGAAGATAGGCCCACAGCGCTTAAAGGCAGCAATGCTAACTCCTGTGGCTCAGCAATGGTTAGTCACAGTGAGGAGGAATCTGGGCCAGTAAGAATAGAAATGTTTTCTGGCCGGTTTACACCTAAATGTAAACACAAACTACACTGCTCCTCTTTTGGTACGCCAAACACCCATATGACAGGGTGCTGCTTCTGGAGGAAGAAAGTGAATTGGGCTAGGAAGAGGCAGTGAAGCTACCTGGAGTACAAGTATTTGTAGCAGGAACCCCAAACCCAAACGGCTGGAGAGTGCCATCACTTGTGATCTAAGAAACATACAGATATTTATTTCAAAACTGCACAGCATCATCCAGCACAGATGCTACCACAGCCAGCACCAAGGCCCATTTTGAAAGAGCAAACCACTGTTGGAAGCCTTGTACCGTGGGAAGGTGCATAGTCACCAGTCACCACTATGGTCAAGGCCAGCTGGAACCAGTACGCTGCTTTATGCTCGTGGGGTCAAGCTACTGGATTAGGCATGGTCAAGTTTCCATAGAGTGCTACATGAGACAAATAAGCCTGCTAATTGCATGATAAAGCACTGCTTACTATTAATGGAGAGGGGGCATTTGTTTTTATAAAGAAAGGTTTTTCCACTGAAAGGAGCAGATCTGGGTCTGTAAATCAGGATGTCCAGGTTCTCCTCCCAGCACCTGACTTTGCTCTCTTCTCTTAGGCTGCATAAAGGCAAATTGACCTTATTACTTCCTCTCCAGTCCTGCCATTTGAGGAAAACATTACAGCACTGAAATTCTTGGAGTCAAGATCAATGAAACTTGCAATCATAAACATCTCTTGCATTTTGCAACTGCTCATAAATCAATATTGTAAAACTACTTACCTGTTCTACCTGAACGAATTATCTAAAATAAATACAACTATTTTATTTTTTTTCTTCCTAGATTACCCAAAAGCAATTTACACGCCTTGTCTTCTTGGCTGGGGAAGAGGCGACTGCTATTGTTCTTTACTATAAGAGCTGTACCTGCAAATTTAGTCTCAGAGCTGGCTAATCCACCTGACCCCAGGAACACTGTCACACCACATAAGTAGTCCTAAGGCTCCCCACATGCGTCCTGCCTTGGGGTCCTGCATGCTCTTAGCTGAGCCCCAAACACAGCACGTAACCATGCTGGTGAGAAGTAGCTACACCACAGACCACAGGAGCAGCTGTGAGGTTTGAGATCACAGGCTGTGCTTGTAACCTTGCTGGCAAGGACTCCTGGCTGCCAGGGCAAAGCCAGCCCAGCATGGCTCTGAGGGCTCAGGGAGCAAAGCCACAACCCATCACTCAGAGGAGAGATAGAAGAAACATCACGGGCTGGAGTGAGACCTCCTTCACACATAAAACACCAAGGACAGAAGTTGTGGCACTTTGCACAGCCCCCTTCCTCACCATGCCATGCTGACAGCAGTACTGCTATTTTGATTTTTTGGGGGTGTTTTAAGCCCCAGATAGCTGGACTACACATGACATGGCATGTGAGAGGACTGCAGGGCACCCATCACACACCTTTGTGAGCCTCTTCCTGCTTGGCTATGATGTGGCTCTTCATGGCTCTTCTTGCTGTGCCAACAACATCCTTTGCCACGGTGGCACTTTTGCAGCAGACCCCAGCATGTGTAAAGCAGAGGGGATGCCTGCATTATTATTGCTATAATTTTATTTGCATCCAACAACTCTCTGCAACATTTTGTGCCCCTTCCACTATTTTACCCTTTATTGGATATTCAGAGCCTATGTGCTGCTAACATCAGCATGCAGCTACTTGGATGTCAGTCTAAACTGGAGATAGCCTGAAAAAAAATGGCATGACTTGACACTGAGCCTCACTGGCATAACTGGCAACGCAGAAAGAAGATGCAAGGACCCAGTTCTAACTGCCCCCTGAAATATTCTTACTGGAGTCAGGATATATCAATATGTGTGCGTGTGTATATATATGGTTTGTTTTGTTGGGGTTGGTTTTTTTTCATAGCAGGAGCTGCTTTCTGACAGTGAGGTTCACTGTGAAGTTATGTCATTTTTTCCAGGTTGTCCCTGGGCACTAACTTCTACAGTGCTGTGCCCATTTGCAGCAAGTCATGCTTGTTTTCACTGGCTAAGCCCAGGAAATTAGTTTCTTCTCTCTTGAAATGTTTCCTGCACAAAACAGCTGTTGGGAGTCAGGAGCAGCTCCTGATTAAATCAAGTGGGATCAGCATTCATGCTCTGTCTTCACAGGTTCACTAACAAATGGAAACCAGGGAAGAGATGGGGAGCTATATGCAGCTCCATAGTCCCTTCTACGCTGCAGCAAACGGAGCACTACACACATAACTGAGGGATACAATGAAATTCTCCAAAAATCCACCACCCCACAAATGCATCTTCCTAGAAACGCCTCTGCAGAACACTTTTGAAAGAAGCCATCTATTTCTCATTACCGATGAGGTGTACTGCAGATGTCTCAGCTGACCCCTCTTGCTGCTGGGTGCTCTGTAATCACACAGCAAGGCAGTCTATGACCCAGAACACCTACCCGTGACAGACACTGCAGGAAAAAGGCAAGAAACGGTCCTGTTTCTGCAGCCCTGCTTGGGAAGAGGGATGAGGATTATACAGGCTGGAGGGAGGTTGCATGGTAGAAGGAAACACCCACAGTGCAGACAGAAGGGTCAGGGTAAAGATGTCCATCTTGATTTCATGAGCCCTGAGCTAAGGATATGAGCAGGCTAACTCAATACTCCCCCCTCTCTGATGCACACTGCCAGCTAGGCAAGCTAGCAAAATTAACTCTAAATGTCTTCCTTGCTTGGACTGGATGTGGCAATCCATGTTCACAGGGGTATCTACTACTGATACAAGAGACAGAAATAGTCAGATCTGTCCTGTTTCTGAATTCGGTGCTACAATATCCTTAAGCACCAAGTATCCCAAAACAGACTCCTCCTCAGAAGCCAAACAAAGCTGAAGAAAGTGGCCTCTCCAGATGCAAAGCAGAAAATGAAAGGAAAAGGAAAAACTAAACAAACAAAGATGTTGCTTAGCTGCATAAAGGTGAAAACAGACATTTCTGGAAACCTCTCCCAACCTTTATCTTATTGCACTGATTTATACCCTTCAGAACAGAGCTCTGAATACACACACCTGAAATGTTCCCAAGGTGCATCTGTAGCACCTACTATAAGCACCCACACAGTCAAAACAGACTAAATTAGTGCAATTATCTGGATTTTTCAAGAAGAGACAAACTGCTTAACCCATGGATCAAAAAAGAAAACCAGAGTAAGGTCACTTCATGAGATGCCATCCCATTTTGTCCACATTTCTATGCAGTAATTTTAAGTACCTCCATTTAAAAATAAAAAAATCTCAATCACCAAAACTCTACCAGCTCCACACCGCCTCCACCCCTTCCCTCCTCCAGGTCTACAAACAAAGGCTTCCCCTAGTTAAAATTTCTGTGAGGAAATAATAGCCATCCTTGTGCGAAGCCATCTGTCATGC